AAAAATTTATTAATTTATATATATTTAATTTTTTCTTTGAAAAATGTAAAAATTTCAAACAATATTAATTAAAACAGTTTAAAAAAGGTTTTAAATCTTTTGCTTCAAATGTTCTTTTTAATAAAGTTAAAAATTTTTTAAAAACACAAAAAGATGTTAATAATAGAATATCTCATTTAAATTTCAATAATTATGTAATAAAACTCACATAAAAACAAAAAAAAATCAATATATACAATATTTTTTGGATTCAACATTTTGTATGATTTTTCTATCATAAAAAATTATCGCAAAATAAAATTAGACTATTTGATTAAAAACACTTACTGTCTATAAAACAAGAAATAAAAGGATCTCCGGTATATCCAGGAAGACATGTGCATATCGGTTGATGATTAACGACCGAGCACTCGGCGTTTCGACCGCACATACCGGCGCAAGGATTGGTGCACTTGTTTCTTACGCACATCAAATTGGATGCACAATCAGGATTAATAATGCATTCGGGTCGACACGCTAAGTACGGATTACCAACATAGCTAGAGATACATTGACATATTGCGACACTATCTCGCTCTCTACATATCGCATTCGCACCACATTCAAAGTTTACGCAAGGCGACGATATTGGTTCCAGTTCTATTGGGCGTGCTAAAACAACATAAAGGACAAATAGATTAAGCAACGTTGCACAAAAGTAAGATCAGTTAATTTTGAAGTTTTAGAGAAAACGTTTTATCCCTTACGTATCGCAGAGCAACGCGTGTACGGATCACCGGTGAGACCGTAGGTACAGACACAATGAGGCACGTGTTGTATCACATGACATTCCGCATTTTCCCCGCATAAACCTGGGCAGGGATCCCTGCATTTTTGTCGCACACAACTTTGATGGCTGGGGCACTCATGATTTGAAATACATTCAGGTCGACAATACGGGGGAGAGCCTCTGTATTCAGGTAGACACGAGCAGGATGGCAAATCGTTAACGACCTGGCACTGAGCGTACGGACCACAGGGCGAAGGTTGACAAGGGTTTATTACTACAGGTGCTATTGGTTCTAAATGAAATAATAATCATGTTTCAATCTTAATTTGGTAGCCGAAGCTTACGGATCTTAAAGCTTATATCAGCTTTGAATCAAAATTTTCTTACTCATAATATCACATCTGATAAATGGATCGCCTGTGTAGCGCTCGGGACACGAGCAAACAGGGTTGTGATTGACAACTACGCATTTTGCTTGGATGCCGCATGTACCAGGGCAAGGATTTTTGCATTTTTGATTAGCGCAAGCTTCGTTCGGCCGACAGTCAGAACTAAGGGTACATTCGGGTCGACAGAGAGGCGGTGCACCGAGAAACTCTGGTGCACAAGTACACACAGCTTGTTCATTTAATTCTCTACATATGCTGTTTGGACCACAAGGATTCGGGCTGCATGGTCTTGTCACGGAAGGGACTAAATATAATAGAGTAGATATTAATTAGCATTTCGAACACGTGAATCAGATTTCTCGCTTCTGATATCATACCTCTTATTACATCACAAGAAATGAATGCATTTCCAGAAGTACCAGGAGGACAACTGCACATCGGTGTGTGATTTATCACATTGCACAAACTGTTTTGTCCACACGTACCTGGACAAGGATCGACACATTTGTTTCGTATGCATGCCTTGTCGGTTGAGCAATCTGTACTAAGTACGCATTCTGGTCGACAGCCAACATATGGATCACCAAAGTATTCAGGTAAACAAATACAAATGCCATTGTTGCATTGAGCGTTTGGTCCACAAGGTGATTTATTGCATGGATCAGTTGGCTGTATTGGCTCGTTGTCTATATATTATTACAATTATCAAATGAAATGATAAATACACTGGAAAATATATAATTGTAAAAATGAAGAAAATTTTTATATAAACTTACAGATCGGTATAGGCTGACAACCAATAAATGGATCACCAGTATAACTTTCTATACATCTGCAGATTGGAATGTGGTTATGAACAGTACAATCGGCATTCAGACCACAAGAACCTGGACAGGGATCTTGGCATTTCTCACGAATACAAGCTTGATTGCTCGGACAATCGGCAGGAATAACGCATTCGGGACGACAATTTGGTGGTGTACCAATGTAATTAATCATACAAGAACAGGATGGATAACCGTTGATGTTGCGACATTGCGAATTAGATCCGCATGGTGAGGGTATGCAAGGGTCTGAGGGCAGACTTGGTAAGTAACTCGGAGTAGCTAAAATTTATAATAAAATCTCTGAATCTCAACAAAACATTATAAAAAATGTTTTAAAATAAAATTTAATTATATAACTATTTTTTAATTAAAAATATAAAATATTCTGTGTAATTAAAAAAAAATTTTTTACATTTCTAAAAATATAACTTCACTATTTCATGTAACAAAAATTTTAAATAAAAACAAAGGAAGATTTTAATGCAAATACAATTATTTCTAAAAAAATAACAAACTATTAACATTTTTTAAATATAAAAAATTAGTAGAGTAAAAGTTACAATGTATATAAGATTTGTTCCGCTTACGTGGTACAAATAGGCAGCGTATGAATGGATCACCGCTGAATCCAGGTTTGCATATGCATATTGGACTATGATTTACGACTCTACACGTTGTACCTTGACCGCAAGAGTTGGGACAAGGATCAACACACTTATTATTTTCGCAAGCTCGATTTGTCGCACAATCTGTACTAACTGTACATTCGGGTCTACAACCGGGTGGTGCGCCGATATAAGTCGGTAAACAAGAGCAAACAGCTTGGCCATTGCTTTCTCTACATTGACTATAAGGTCCGCAAGGGGACGGTTGACAGGGATTAATGTTATCTGCTATAATCGCTGCAAGAAAGTCAGATATTTAAAATCACATAATTGTCTATAAAATACATGCGCAAGAAATTTTTAAACGAGTTCTTACGGGCTTCAACAATAAGGTTGCAGAATATGAATGGATTTCCCGTGTACTGCTCGAAGCAAGTACAAGTTGGTGCATGATTAATCACGTAGCATTGCGCGTTTTGACCGCATGTTCCTGGACATGGATCTTTACATTTTAAACCAATACATGCTTGATTGGACGGACAGTCGGAATTGAGTGTACACTCAGGTCTGCATCCTTCATAAGGATTGCCAATATAATCGGTCGAGCATGAGCAAGAACCAGCATTTTGCTGAACTCTGCATACTGCATTTGCACCACATGGAGATGGGGTGCATGGCGTGGATATACTAGGCTGTATATCGACTAAAATAAGAATAAAAAAGTAATTTGATTATCCATTCTTAAACGAAAATGTATTTGATAAATTGTAAGTTCATAATAATAATCTAATATTAATTTCATTATTAATTCTTTCATATATAAAAAATTTAGATGTAGATTAATAGAAATCGAATAAGTTGAAATAAATCTGACTTCTAAACTATTTGAATATTTGAATTATTCTTTTAAAAAATTCTCTTACATTGTTGGGGAGAACATTGCGTAAACGGATCGCCAGTGTAGCCGGGGGTGCATGCACACATCGGTGTGTGACTAACAACATTGCAAACGGCATTGATGCCGCATGCATTGATGCACGGATCGCGACATTTTTGATTAATGCAAGCCATTTTGTTCGAGCATTCGCTATTACTGTTACACTCAGACCGACAGTTCGGGGGTGATCCAATAAATTCTTGCAAGCATGAGCAAGAGGCTTGATCATTAATCACTTGGCATTGTGCATTTGGTCCACACGGTGATGGTTGACAAGGATTAAGCACAGGTAATGGATCCTCAGCTTTAAAAGTAATACCGATTAATATTAACTGAGACACTATTGAAATTTAATTATGCTATGCGCATGTTCGAAGTAATAAAATAAAATAAATCGCGGAAATTAGTTTGTGAAACGTTATTTTAGAAAGAATAAGAAAAAAATTTTCTTACGAAGGGGGAAACAATTAATAAATGGATCTCCGGTCATTCCAGAACGACAGACACAAACAGGATTGTGATTAATAACATTGCAGATTGTGTTGCGACCGCAACTTCCCGGACAAGGGTCCTGACATTTTTGATTAGTGCATGCTTCATTCTTCGGGCAATCTGAACTAATTACACATTCGGGCCTACAAGTCGGAGGCGCGCCGATAAAGCCACTTATACAACTACATACAGCCTGCATATTATTTTCTCGGCATTGACTATTCGGACCACACGGAGATGGATTACATGGGTTGCTAATGGGTGGCGCTATAAGAAGAAAAAATTTTAATTATAGAATAAAAATCTGATATACTAAGAATACGGATGTTATTGGATATTAAACAAAATCCTTTAATATTTTGATATATCAGTTGTTACGATTAAGATTTCTAAAGAATACCTGGCACGGGAGAACATAGGACGAAAGCATTTCCATCCATTCCCGAGGGACAAGTACACATAGGAACATGATTATACACATTGCACATAGCATTTTGGCCGCAAACACCTGGACAAGGATCCACGCATTTATTTCGCACGCACGCTCGCGTATTCAGACAATCGTTATTCAATACACATTCTGGTCGACAACCGCTATAAGGATCCCCAAAATATTCTGCTATACAAACGCAAATTCCTCCATTACATTGCGTATTGGGTCCGCAAGGCGAAGGTGTGCATGGATCCGGTTTAGAAGGGGCAACAATGACTGTAATAAGTCAATTCCGCGTAAGAAGAAGATCAAGTATGTTACAATAAGAACAACAAAAAATTATTATTGTATATTTCTGATGGGGAATCTTACGTGGTTTTACGGAACATTCAATAAAAGGATCGCCAGTGTAATCAGGCAAACACGAACAAATTGGTACATGATTTATGACACTACATTCGGCCATGATGCCGCATGAGCCTGGACAGGGATCTTTACATCTTTGTTGCATGCAAGCCATATTAGCTGAGCACTCTGCATTAATTGTGCACTCTGGTTTACAATTCGGTGGACTGCCTCTATACGTTGGTAAACAAGAACATGATGGCACTCCTCCTATATCGCGACATTCGGAAAACATGCCACAAGGTGATGGTATGCACGGATCTCTCGTAACATCACTTACAACAGGCGGACTCACTGCAACGAATTATGAACAGTTTAAGAGCTATACAACTGTTATAAAATCTAATTGATTGCATATCACATTTCCATTTCTACACAACTTTTAAATTAATCAACAGTGAAAGACTTATTATTTCTCACTTTGCCAGAAATTAGACTTTCTAAATGTTATCAACGTAAATATTATTTATCGATTCAAAGAAAATTAAGACAGAGTTATACGTGATCTCGGAATAATTTTCAGTATAATTTTGGAAATAAATATTTGATCGAGATCTGAATATATTTATTTATTCGGGTGTATATGTATATAAGATATCTCATTTTAACTTTCACATCGAAATATTAAAAAAAATATAAGATACGAAAAAATGTTTCAGACAAATATTGTATGACCCGATATGGTACAAATAATAATAAAATCAAATTTTTAAAAGATATTTATATATCATACTTATATAATATGAAGAGTGTGACTATTTTTCTAAATAAAGTTGTATGATTTCATTTACATAATATGATTCCTCTAGTTATTCTGCATATAAAAGGCCATTATTTTTTCGAGATATTTTAATATTGAAGTTAAAATATAACACTATGTATAGGTCACCCAAAATTAATATTAGACAAAATTGAAAATCGTACCAGGTATCTGGAAGCAAACAGTAAATGGATCACCGGTAAAACCGTTCTTGCAAGAACAAATCGGATTATGTTTGATGACTCTGCAATTCGAATTTCTGCCGCAAGAGCCAGGACAGGGATCTTGGCACTTTTGATTCAAACAAGCAAGATTGAGGGAACAATCCGAACTTGTCACACATTCAGGGCGACATGCAGGTGGATTACCGATGAAAATCGGTAGGCAAGAACAAACTGCTTGATTGTTATTAACACGACACTGGCTGTTGGGTCCACAAGGCGATGGATTGCAAACATCTCTTGGAGTATCGACTAAAATGATAGATGTATCTTTCAAATTTTTAAGACATTAATGAAGGAAAGATTATTTTAAGTATTCATTTACAAAAATATTAAGATATAATTATATATTCTTAAATTAACACGCGTTAAAAAAATTATTTAAAAACAAAATAAGATAATATCATAATATTGTGACTCTTGTCAAATGTATAAAATAAAAAATTTTAAATAAAATAAGAAAAATGTACAAAATCTCAATAGCTAGATATGAAGATTTCTCAGTATTCAAGAAAATATTCGTACCGACATCGCGTATTACAGTGCAGTATTGGAAGGGATTGCCACTATAACCGGAAATACATGTGCAAGATGGTCGATGATTGATAACTTGACATTCAGCAAATTGTCCACAGACACCAGGACATGGATCTCTGCACTTTGATTGTACGCAAGCAAGAATAGATATGCAATCTGTATCAACCACGCATTCTGGTCGACATCCTTCGTAAGGATTGCCGATATAATCTGGTAAGCAAGAACAGGATCCAACACCAAACTGTTCTTTGCAGATGGCATTAAAGCCACAGGGTGACGGTTTACAAGGTGATAGTGGGAGTGGTGTGGCTGAAAATAGAATATAAAATAGGAAATGTTCCAAGTAACTAATTTTTAACAGTAATTTTTAAAGAAAAATTGGAAAATTTATGTCTAGATCCTAGAAGATGGTCAATAGAGTTCTATAATTCATATAAAAATAAAAAATTAAATCTGCTCGAATCTAAGTATAATTTAATTTTGTATGTAAATTTAATTCTGTATGTATAAGATCGATGCTTACGTGGTTTCATGGTACACTGTGTAAATGGATCGCCGGTGAAGTCGCTAGGACAAACACACATGGGTGTATGACTCACTACACGACATTCGGCGTTAGCTCCGCAGGAGCCTTCGCAAGGATTCCTACATTTCTGATTCATACACGCTAAATGAGCAGGACATTCACTATTGCTAATGCACTCGGGTTTACAATATGGTGGCAAACCCAAGAATCCAGCTAGACATGAACATGAGGGAGCATCGCCTACAACTCGACACTCGGCATTTGCTCCACAAGGAGATGGCACACAGGGATTTGTTTGCAACACGGGTTTGGGTGCTAATGAAAAGAAAAATATCGAATGTAAAAATTTAAGACTAAATATTCAAAATAAGTTTACAACCAAAACTTTATGTTATGATTATTTTGATCAATATGTTTAAATTACTCGAGATGTTAAATAAAATAAAACTTATTATTAGTATTTCTAATGAAAATCCTTTTAAATTCTTATGAAATATGTGTTTATTATAGAGAAGAGTTTTGAATGTATGTATTTTGATGCGCGCGCGCCAAATGCATACCATTTAAGTTATTTCTTATTATTTTTTCATTTAGTATTGATTGTACGTAAATAAACATTGAAAATTGTAACTTGATGTTTCAGACATCTATTATTACATATTAAACTTTTCTCCAATAACAAATTTATTATAAGTCTTTTTATACTATATTACAAAAGATGCGATTTAGATCAATTTAATCGTTTAAATCGTATCTATAGGTCTTTTAAACCGTATCTGCTTTAAAAAAATATCGAATTTATAAATAAAAATAATTAAGAATAATAAGATATTAAAAGTATAAGATTAAAAAGAATCATTAACTAATATTCAATTTTAATAATCAATTTTATCAAAAAAAGAAATCAAGGGATTTTTATAATTAAATTTATTGAAAATTATTTAATAATTATTAAATAATGATAATGAAGCAAGAAAGCAAGAAATAAAACTGGGATTTATTTTTACAATTATATTCATATCAATTATTAGCTTTATTATTATCAATTATCAATCTTATCTTGTGGTAATATTTTAAAAACTTGAGAAATTTCATAAATATCGATTTAGTTGTCATAATGACAGTATATCGGTAAATTTCAGCTCGCTATCTTACTCTCTTACTCTCTTATGCTCTTATTCTTTTATTCTTTTATTTATTTAATAGGTAAATTATCACGTAACAACTGACTAAATATTATATCGAGTAATAATATAAAATATCAATAAGACATGATTTTACGCGACCGGTATGCATTGGATAACTCTTCTCTACTTATTTGTTATAATAACAAATATTGTGAAAAGTAATAAAATTATCTTGAATTTTGCTTTTTACTGCCAATTTTTAACGTATTTGAAATTTAAAAAAGCAGAATATTTTTTTTTATATCTCTACATATTACATCTAAATATTAAACAAGCGGAATTAAGCAATAAACATTAAAACAGATATTAATGTTAATTGCTTAATGACTCTTTGCAATTGATATTTGTTCTTACGTCGTGGAATACACCGAACGAATGGGTCTCCAGTGAGTTCTCCGCAGCTACATATGGGATTATGATTGATTACTTGACATGTAGCTTGAATTCCGCATGCACCGAGACAAGGATTTATGCATTTTTGATTGCTACACGCTTCTGTCAGAATGCATTCAGAACTGACAGTACATTCCGGTCTGCATGCTGGCGGAACACCAAGAAAGCCTGCCACACATGAGCACACAGGTTGCCCGTTGTTTTCTCGACAAATACTGTTGGGTCCACAGGGCGAGGGTGAGCAGGAATCTCTTTTTGGGATATCTAACATTCGATATAATAGCAATCTTACACTTTGTTCCCAAAAAAGTAGTATCATACATCAATACAAGTAATATCAATAATGATAACAGTAGAAAATAAAAACTTTAAAGAACTTTTTTTAAAGTTGACTCTACGATTATCATTACCAATAATCATTCATAAAAATTATAAATCGATCACATTGATGATTATTATTATTATACCTTCGACTATGGAACATTGAACAAAGGCATTGCCGGCCATTCCGGTCGGACAGGTGCACATAGGTACATGATTGTATACGGAACACAATGCATTTCGACCGCACGTGCCCGGGCAGGGATCGATGCATTTATTGCGCATACACGCACGATCGTGGGCGCAATCAGTATTCATGACACATTCGGGACGGCAACCCACGTAAGGATCATCTTGATATTCAGGCAGACATATGCAGATGCCATTGTTGCATCGTGCATTCGGTCCACAAGGGTTCAAATTACAAGGGTCGATAACTGCAGGTGCCGCTGTAAAAGAATATGGACAAAGAACTAAACATTATAATAGAATTCGAAATAAAACTTCACGAAATGTAACACATAAGTTTCTTTCACGCAATATTATATTCGTGCCTAATGCATCGGATATTTCTTTCAATTTATGTCAATCTAATCGATGCTGCAATGATAATTGTAACGAAACAATGTAAAAAAAAGCTTTAAAAAAAGCATTAAACATTTATTTTTGTTTAAATTTCTATTTTTAAATGATAAATATAGCAAAATATTGATCAGACAAACATTAAAAAATCCACATAAAAAATAAAAAAAAGTAAAAATGTCTTTCTGAAATTAAACATTTATGTTGTTTAAGCAAATTTAAATTCTCTTATTATTTGGCATTCGCTGAAACTAAAACTACTATCAAAATATATCTAAAAAGCGTCAAGAAATATTGTGCATCATATTTCGCGAAATTTTTTTTTAAATAAATTTTTCATAGCTTTAGGACTTTGGGAAGTCTCTTACTTGTTGGTCTGAGATAACAATTAGTGAAAGGATCGCCAGTAAATCCTTCGGGACAAGTACACACAGGTATATGATTGTAGACTGTGCACAATGAAGTGATGCTGCAGGAGCCTAAACAAGGATCTCTGCATCTCTCATTGTTGCAGGCAAGATTCATCGGGCATTCGGAATTTACGCGACATTCAGGGCGACAATTCGGTGGTGATCCTCTGTAGGTCGGGAGACAGGAGCATGATGGTGTATTACCAATATTCCTACACTCCGCATATATGCCACATGGAGATGGTAAACAGGGATCTTTGGAGACTACAGGAAAATCTAGCGATTCTAAAAATCCAATAATAAAACAGCGTAATCATAACAAATTCGCCGTTTGTTCCAGAGTCTATTTTAGCAATAAATCAACTGCGTTTATGAGAATGTTATAAAAAAATAATGAAATATTATTGCATATCATACGATATATCATACATCAAAATGATTGATATTATGATAATATGACAAAGTGAATTGGGAACAATGATTGTAGTGTTATTTCAAAATTTTAAATCATGATTGTGGATTATAAAAAACAAACCAATGACATGAATGAAAGAAGCTAATGATCATAAATGAATGAATGAAGCGAACGATCATGAAAAATTAAGTTAATGAGAGAGACCAAGTTCTTACGTGGGGCGGGGAAACATCTCGTAAAGGGATCTCCGGTATAACCGAGATTGCAGATGCAGATGGGGCTGTGACCGATTACTCTGCATTGTGTATTTATACCACATGGATCCGGGCAAGGTGATATACACTTCTGATTAATGCAAGCGAGATCTTGAGAGCATTGGCTGTTCATTACGCATTCAGCTCGACAGTTGGGAGAGCTGCCAATAAAATTCGGGAGGCAAGTGCAAACGGCAAGGCCATTTATATCTCGACATTTACTATTTGGTCCACAGGGAGATGGGCTGCACGAATTTGTTTCTGGCTGTACTGTGTGGAGAAAAATATTATTATGTACTATTTTCTATGAATTATTCTAGGCAATAATATATCGTCCTTTCATGTTCAAACTAATATTATTTTCCTCAATATAATAAACTTCGTTATATTGAGATCCATATTAAAAAATAAAATAAAGTACAGCAAAAATTGGAATTTAAATTATCTCTGTACATGTGCGATCAAACAGATTGCTTTAGTTATTTTTTAAATTGAAAATATGTTTTGTGTCTATAAAATCATAATAAA